TCTGAAGCTCATGCATCTCCTCGAGGTACTCATCGTACATTCCCTTAGCTGTCAATCTCCAGTACTCAGCCTCCTTCGACTTCTCGTCCATCGTGCACCGTTCCTCTTGTTTCTCTTCTTTGACCTGGGCTAACTCCAAGATCGCATCCTGACGATGACCACCTTCGACAGCAATCATCTGGTCCTTCATCGACACGTCGGACTCATACTGTTTGACGATCTCTTCTTTTTCGCGAAGCAAGCAATCTGCTCTCTTCGATTCCTGTTCCGCAAATACTGTAACGTCATTCAGCCTCGCCATCAGCTGTTCCCTGGAGTCCTCCAAAGAGTACGTCTCGGGGCGCTTGACGAGTGCATGCTCCAACTGTGATTTCAGACTTTGGACCATCTCCTCCTCGTTGAACTTCTCGATAGATGTAGAAGATTCTATGCCTCTGATCTGTTGCTGATAAACTGATATCTGTTGTGAAGCCTCACGGTGTATCTGATTTGCACGTATAGCTGATTCCTGCGCGGCCGACTTCTCGCTTGCCATGTAGGATTTCATCAATGCAATCTCCCGCTTCTGCTCCATGATAGTTCCTTCAGCTTGCCTCATCTGTTGCATTATAATATTCGACTCCATGTCTTTCTTCTCCCCGTACTGAAATGCGTTCATTTCCACCTTGCGCATCTGTTGGGCTTCTTCCTCAAACTTGCGCCATGCCTCAGCCATGTGGTGTTGGTGGTGACTCACTAGATGTCCCGACTGCTTGCTGGCAATCTCGCATCGTCTTTCCAGCTCCTGGATCCGGATGGTGCTTCCATAGTCTTCTTGGTTAAGATTCGCCATTGCTGCCGACATTTCATCAAGTGTCTTCTGATATTCCCCGATCTCCACCTCCATCTTATTCTTCTCTTTGATCACGGCGCGAAAATCTGCACTGGTGGGTGATTTTGACCTCCCACCCTTCGATGTCGATCTCACGCCCTTCTGCGACGTCCGTGGTGTCGCAGGCGAAGATGATGATCTTCTCGGTGGGGATTCTCTTTTCTTCGACTCCTGATGAACATCGATCTGCTTCCATGATCTTGTGGGAGTAGATATGTCGCTGAATAGCGCGGAACCTCCGCTCCCAGGTTCATCCTGTGAATCTGCAACCATATCCATCACCGCAGGAAGAGCCATCAATCCATTGGATCCCTCTGAGCTGCTGTTCCCAAAAGTTGCAGTACTTGGGCTCGCCGAAGACGCCATTGTACTGTGTAGGTTATCGTTCCTTTATTGTCCCTGTACCCGCAATAAACCAGCTGTCTCCCAGTCCAGTGTAGAGCTTGTAGTTACGGCTGATAACCTGTCAAGAGACGGCAAGGTGACGTCCCGTGGGACGCTATGCACCGAACCCTCAAGCTGTAATACCAACCACGTAGAAAGGTGTATACGGACGATGCCGTTATAGCCGAACCCGTGTAAACGTTGTAAGGGAGAAGGAATGATAGTTACAACAGTAGTCCTGACAAATGCAGCGCAAGCGAAGTGTTTTCGCTCTCAATGCCGATCACGTATGTATGCAGTCACACATCAGATCTTGAACCTCAATTGTGTCTTGAGCCAAATGGCGATCAATGGAACTTGGGAAGCAACACCAACAAGGACCTCAGAACAGCTACCCAATTTCGGCACGGGGCCTAGAGGGTTTTAACACTTCCTCTCATTCACTTCTACTTTCCCTGCGCATGCCTCTTTGCATTTCACTGTCTACTTGCCCTACGCATGCCTCTATGCATTTGACTGTCTACTTTCCCTGCGCATGCACCTGTGCACTTCACTCTGTACTTGCCCTCGGCATGCCCCTACGCATTGCACTGTCTACTTGCCGCGCGTCTACTTTCCCTGCGCATGCCTCTATTCACTTCACTTCACACTTGCCCAGCGCATGCCTCTATGCATTTCACTGCCTACTTTCCCTGCGCATGCCTCCATGCATTTCACTGTCTACTTTGCCTGCGCACGCATCTATGCAGTTCACTCTGTACTTGCCCCGCCCGTGCCTCTATGCTTTTCTTCACTCTCCACTTTCCCGCCGCATGCCTCTTTCCATTTCACTGCCTACTTTCCCTGCGCATGCCTGTATGCACATAAATGTCTACTTTCCACGCGCATGCATGCATGCGCAGGGAAAGTAGACAGTGAAATGCATAGCGTAGGGCAAGTACAGAGTGAAGCGTATAGATGCATGCGCAGGGAAAGTAGACAGCGAAACGCATAGACGCATGCGTAGGGAAAGTAGACAGTGAAATACATGGTTGGGTATAATGGACCGATTCAGGTTGCGTGTCAGGGAAAATGTTTTCGGGCCACTTGTCTTCTAGTTTGTTTACGGACAGTTACAGTGCTTTTGGCATGAGTAAGGGACAGTACAACACTTTTGAGCATGCGCACGCAGCAAGTTCAAAAAATTTCCCTAAAATCCAGGCTTTGGAGGCTGAAAGCGCTGCCCGAAAAAAACATAAAAATCCC